AAGCAGGCAGGTTTTAGGAAACTTGGTTTATCCACATTCTGCTTTCCTCATTAGCACGCATAATTGAGAGTTGGCTGTGAAAGAGGAAAATGGATATATAAAAGTGACAAATACAAAATGCAGGTCTTTAGTCTCTCCTTGCTGACTGCCTTATAGTAAACACAAAACTTTGCTATTGTATTACCACCTGGTGGAACTATATAATCATACCAAATTACATGTTTATCTACATCAAACTATTTTTTAGACTGGCAAATGTGATACCCATGAACAGATGGCCATTATATCAAAATACATTTACTCCAAGGGGCCAATTCACAAAAGAGGCTCACATACACCTAAGTGATGAATGTATAGCTTCAATTCATTGTAGAATCTTGCAAACACCTTCTTCCAAATTTATAATTGATCACTTGTAAAGTAACTTTGCCTTCATCATGGAGAGAGCAGGTGGTTTTGATGAAAGTCAAAATATATCAGGAAATAAAAAATGCAGAGAAAGCAAATACAGGCAAAGAGTACTCCTTCCTAGTCAGAAAAGAATATAAAAATGCAAGCAAGATAGACACTAATCTACTAACACAGCTCTGATTTCTTGTAGGAAGGTTGACACTCTGCCAAGCAAAGTTAAAAGGCCACTTCTGCTCTGATATGATATGGACAAAAATTTTCCAGCACTTTGGTGAACTGTAGTTGCCTGGAACTAACCATCAATGCACTGGTTTGCTTAAGCATGTGGTTTATAACAAAACTATTTCTTGAGTTCAGCCCAAAGAGAAACCATTGTTAAGAATCGTGGGATCTGTAAATAAAATAACCTATGTGTTTTTTTCTGGTTCCAATTTTAATTAGGAATCCATAGGTAACTTTCCTAAAATAAATATAATCTCTTCTTTTTCCCCCTTCCTGAAAATTCAATTTCAAATTAAGTGAGAAATACGAAACCTCATTTTAAGACCCTTCCTGCTCTTCTCATAAGCGTATCCGATATTAATCTTTTGTCTGGAGTCAGCTGCATATGACAACAAGTAAGACAATCCAGATTGGAGAAAAAACTGTGCTGAAAAGAATGAAAAATTTTCCTTGATTTTCAGTGATGTCAGGAACAAAAAGAAAAGAAAAAATAAATGAGAATCTTGAAAAATTAAGAGAATTTAAAGTGAAGGAAGGGCAGAAAGCGAAGAGGTCTCCCATGCACAGGAGGACAAAACAAGTGGTGTTCGTTGCCACTGCTTGTACACGGGTAGACGGTGGACACCTATTCTCCACACACCGGGCTAGTCCCCACAAGCTGGGCAAACCCGACACCAAGCACTGGGAAATGGCCTACCCTCATGGGCGGAAGGACCCACCCGCCCTGGGGCAGTGTGGGGACTCTGGGTCTATGCACTCAGCATGAGCAGGTGAGACCCGAAGCACTGGCCTCCAGCCTGGCACCAAAAGACCACCTGAAACTAGAAAAGACTTATCAACAGGTAGGACTAACCTGATGCAAGATGTTCAGAGCTGTACAAGAGATCTGTACATCATCTCCCTCTTCAAACAGTGGAAGCTAATGTAAAGAAACACGACTCAGAGCTACCACCCATATATTCTGACTATGCTCGCCAAGCCGTCACAAAGAAGCAGCAACCAATGCCACGAGACCCACCACTGCCTGGTGACAGTCACGTTTGTTGCACCACAGTTGCTACTCTTTGCCACCCTATAAGCCTAGGTTAGGGGGGTCTTAGAACACGGGATTGAGAGATGAAGGAGGGAAGGATCTTTCAGAGTTCCCAAAACCCACACAGGGCTTTGGTCTCAGAAATGAGACTCCATTTTAAAATTGAGTGGTATATTCTCACAAACACATTGGATAAAGACGACAGATGGGAAAGGCAATCTTGGGAATGTCAATCGGGGTGTGGATTTGTTTAAGTGCCAGGGACACACACAGGTATTGGCAGAAGACCAAATTTTGGCCCCAAGTCAGGGGGCTTTTTACATTTGAATATGGTATGGCCAGATTCACATTATTTACCAAGGTGATGCACAGTGCACTAACACTGCCCACACAATTGTTTCTATATTACTCACCTGGAAACTAACACAAGCTCACGCGGCACCGGGCTTGCTTTAAATCCCTTTGACAGTAATATTGGTGCCTGAAACAAAAGTTTTCTCTTCATTATAGTGACAGGAAAATGTAATTATATCAGAATAACTAGGTCTATTTTACTATTATCAGGGAATTCTCATAATTATTTTCCAAGATGCTTTTTTAAAAGAATTTTTTTACTTTGACAGAAAGACAAATATAAAAACTTGCAAGTTCAGCAAGAGTGATTATTTATGATGATCCTTTGTTTTCATCACACACTAGTTTCCCAAAAATCTTTTTTTCATTAGAAGCTAGAATTTTCTAAAAATCTATAATTCTTATGGATACAAATATATTGCAATATACTTTATAGCACTTGTAGAAATTTTTATTTCTAGAGATAAGACTACAAGAACAAAATACTTCACGAGGTAAACGAGTACAGTTTTTAGCCCAAAATACATTTGAGAGAAAAGCTACTGAACTGCAAAAAAACAAAGTCAGCACCGTGGGGTTTTCTCCAGGAAAACCCCCGCCCTCCATGCCATCGGCTCAGTCGTGCCATCCCCCACCCCCAATACACCAATCTGATGAATGAGCAAGCTTGGAGATGGTAACTGCAGTATAAAATTCTTCTTTTACAATTACTTATAGAAATAAATGACATTTTTCCCCATCAAATAAAACAAAGACTCCAAATCATCATTTCTGCTATTTCTTTTTGTGTCAAAACAGCTTTGCCATCACTCCCCCGCCCTTCATGCACCTAACGTGGCAGTGCAGAATGTGACAGTGTGAACATGTTCAGTATGTCCTGTGTCGGAGTCGGGGGTGCCTGGAGCTGCCATACGGGCCATGAGGAAGCCTCTGAACAAGCAAGCACCCACAGTGTGTGAGAAGGGGCTGCCAGGTGTCACATGCACACGTGTATAGGCCCAAGAACGTGCACACATGTGCACGTACATGTGTGCACATGGATATGTGTCCATACATGTGTACTGGGGCATTGTGTGGGTATGTGTGTGAATAAAACATTTAAAAATACATAAACCCTACCATTGCTAAAATGAGAATGGGAAAAGCGGATTTTATGGTTGGACTTCATTTTTTTAATTAAATCTTGTTAATATTTTTTGTCATAGAATGTGCCTTCTGGATGCCAATGTGTCCCTAAAGATGTGCTGTCATCCCAAGCAATGTGAAATTCTGTGCATCCTAATGCAAGTGGACATAAGGCAATGTATACAGTCCCGGTTAGAGCTTAATATGACACCTACCATGTGTGCCCTGATGGTTTACTATATAAATACACACATTTGTCTGAAAAAAATATTTTCATCTCAAAATGTAACTATATAATGAGGCACAAATTCATATCTTCAGAAAATTAGATAAAAACTATATTTCTCAAGTCACAGACCAACATTGTTTAAAACATCTTTGTTGCTTTAAAGAAAACAAGACTTGCTCTTGTCAACAGTCATTTTAAGAATGGTGAGAAGTGACAGCTGTATTTGTTTTTTAATGGCTAAATGTAGTAAAGTTCCAAATTCCCTAGAGTCTTAACACTGGCTCTGAGCAATTAGGTTTGTATTCCCCCTGAACCTGCGTCTTAATCTGCACCCCAATTATGCACAAGAAAAGTGCTGCCCTGAACCACCGTTTTGTATTCCATAGGAGGTGAACGCTCCCAGAATCAGTGCTCCCAGAATCCTGCCTCATCATCACCATTGTTCCTTGCACAGATGAACAAAAGTGTGGGTGCTTTGCTAAAAGAGCTAAGCAACAATAGAAGAAAGGCTTCCCCGAATATGCTATGCTGCGTAAAAGTCAGCACTGAGTCTATCCTGAAAAATTCAGCAGGTAGCAAGTCGGGTACTCCAAATACCCACCAACACTATGGTGCGGCACACACCTGAATCTGCTCCCACTGAAAGCCAAACAGTCGAATAGTCAAAGATGTGTCCTTTTAATAAAAGATGCTCAGTGTTTTTTTGCCATGCTCCAAAATTTGGATATTTGAAACCACTCAGCTATTGGCATTTAATATAACAAGCTAGCTGACTAAATGTTTCCTTTTTTAACTCATATGGATAGCAAGTAATAGTCTATAGAGGAGAGAGGTAGTGAGACTTGACAATACCACGCATGAACACAGCGTTTTAGTAGGAAAATGCATTGAACAGTCCTCGTTCTCATACTTGAATTTACAAGGCCACAGGACACCCAACATCACTGAAAACTCCCCTTGCTAGCAGACCTGCTGTCTGCTCTGCATGCAAAATCATGTGTTTAGGGTATACAGTGACAAAGAACTAAGTTTCAATTTAGAAATCTTTTTAAATAGCACTAGCAATTCACATCAAATGGCTCTTCTTCACATGAGCAACTTCAGGAAGTGACTTTGTAGGCAAAGAGAAGGCCATTCCAAGAGCGGATTATTTATAATTACAAGGAAATGAGGAGAATGGAAGTCCCCCCTCCTCCCTTTATGTCTTAAGCCAGGGTCCTCGGTGGCAATGAATAAGACTGCCCTCGCATTTTTCTCCAGCTGGAGAGAACCCTTGCAGGCAGCCCATTAGAGGAACACACAGATCCCAGCCCTTCCCTGTCTCCCTCCCTCCCAGCCTCCCCTAGAATGAAAAGAGCATATTATTAGCAAAGGTCTGCCAGGGAGACTAAGGTGCTGCTTGGTTCTGCAGCGATTCTCTCTCTGAGACTTCCTTGCTCTCCTGCTTCCATCTGATAAACTATCCATCCCAGCATTCTCATTAGACTCCCATCACCAAAGGGAGTGGAGATGAATCTGTCTATGCCCCCTCCCCTCCCTGCTCTGTTGAAATTTCATTGAAATGTTCATTTCCATCGCTGCTGGCAACATTAGAAAGGAAGTATTTAACCTGTTTCCATTACTTACACAAATCGCCATTATGGGGTAGGACAGATGTTAGAATCACGCCACGTAACGAACTTCCACACATTCTTTACAGGAAGCGTTAGAAGAAGGAAGGCGGCTGGATAACATTATCCAGGCTCAATAACGTTCTCTCCACTACCAGATTCATTAACTTGGCACATCAGCGTTGCACTTTCTTCCTTCGAGAAAATTCCCAGGCTGGTTGGACTCATTTAATTTGGAGAGAGAAACCTTTGTCGGTGATAATGTTTTGATCAGGTGCATTGGGAGTGTGGGGAGGGAAGGGGGTGAGGGGAGGAGGCAGGGGCACGAAGAAGAACAGGGAGAAGAGGAAACCACCTTGTCGAAAACGCTCCCTTCCCAACGGGAATGATGAAAGGGAAGTCAGCTGGAGCCGCTGGGACTCAAAGATGGCTGTCACTTCAGATAGGCACGGGCACAACTCACCTAGACAGGTGACACTTTGGTGGAGCAAAATCCTGCTGCATTATTGAGCGTGCCAGGGAAGGGGCTCAGGAAGACTGCAGGCCCAGGATGCCTAGGGCACCAGGGAAGTGAATTCAGCAGGTGAATGGATTTCGCTCTTCTTTTGCATCCTGGAGTGAAGGGGAGGCAAAGTTTTCTGACTGAAAAGGCAAAGAAGGTGCTTAAGCCAGGAGTCCACATTCCAGCCCCCAGCTTTCTTCAGATTCTCCATCCCTGATAACCAAAGTGAAGGCTGGGTTGATGATCCACATAATTAGCGGCTACTTGAAGCCCATAAGCCTGTCATTACATTTAGAAAATTTAACATAAACAACAATTCTAGTCCAAGGACATTTTCTTGTCTGATTTCTACATCCACCCCGTGAACACATCTAGACACTGACCACAGGTAGGATTTGTAGAGAAGGTAGAAGGTTGAGGCAACACAATTTCTAGGGAAAGGCTTTAAAATAAAAGATACAACCACGCAGCATAAGAAACAAATTCCATTCCATCTCTTTCCACAAGCAATTGATCCCTGGAAAAACCAGACTGATCCTCAATTCCAACATCTCATCTAACTCTCTCTCCTTCCTTTCTGCCTTTGGTTCTACCCACAAAACCATGTGGAAAGAAATGCTGAGCATGCTTTAATCAATAAGTAAAAGGGGAAAAGACAACATTCATTGGTGGAAAGAAAGAAAACATGCACTCAGAGAATCTAAACTACACTACAGGAGTGGGCTCCAAACCAGAAGCCAGCAGAGCAAAATCAGATGTAGGAAAAAGGATGTTTGATGCTAACAGTTCCCAAATAGCTATAATGCTGCCTGAAATAACACAGGAATACATTCTCAATAGAAAGTGTTAAAAGCCCACTATGATCATCAGAAGCATTTTTATCAGAGGCAACAATGAAATCCAATCTCCATTAGGAACAAAATACATTATCTAGGTGGATAATGCTCCACCTAAAGAAAGAGGATTTTTCTCAGTACATAGTATTGGGTGGACTAGTAATACAGCATACTATTATCTTGGAACAAGTAATTTATTTGTTCTTGAATAAACATTTTTATATTCACAGAACTTTCACTCACTCTGCATTATCCTTTGCATGAAAAGGTCACTAAATAACAACAGGTAGTATCAGTCAAAACCTTACTCCGGGCTAGGAACAATAGTGTTCTACATGTATTAACAAGGTTAGCTTCACATCACCCTATAAGGGAACCCTATTATTACCTTCCATATTTCTAGATGAGGAAACTGAGGCATGGAGGCTAAATGAAATGTTCCACAGGCAGGAAGATGCAGAGTGGCCTTCTCAGCTCATCTGCTCCCAAGACTCAGCCATAGTGTTAGGGCCATCCCCATGAGGAGGGTAAGTGGCCTGAGTTTAACACTGATTGTTTTTTAAACCAGGTCTTTGTTTCCAGTCAACAAAACTGGCCTTGGGTACTTCTACCCTAAAAGTTGTGGTCGTAGGAATCAGCCCTGACAGGCTGCAGAGGAGGGGGGCATCCCTGGCGCTGCCATCTATGAGCAGTCGCAGAGCCTAGTGGAAATGCTTCCTCCCAAGGCCTGTCAGACTGAAAGTAGATCTATTGGCAATCACCACAGGCTTGGGAAGCTGGGGACAGGTGTCACTGCTTAACGGGCCCAAGTTCAGTTTGCGATAAGAAGTTCCAGGGATGCATGGTGGTGACGGCTGCCCAACAAACACTATGAACAATGAGAACATTTTGGACTGTACTCTTAAACTGGTTAAGTGATAAACTGTATATTTTAGTCCCATAAAAAGAAGATGGGAGAGCAAAGAAAATCTGTTTACTCTCACCAAAAAAATCTACACAGACCAGGTGCCTTCTATGCAGTCACCTCTCTGACCCACCCAACAGCTGTCCTGCCACTGAACAGCCTCCAGCCCAGCCACCTGGCCAGCCTGCCAGGACCCTCCCCACCTGTGCAGCCTCTGCACCCTGTGGCTGCTTTTCATAGCACAGGGAGGAAACCACAAGCCTAGAGATGGCCTCCTCTTGGGCTAGGTCTCCTTGAGCATGAAACAACACCTTAATGGACCTTGGACCTGACAACCAACATGGTACTTTGAACAAAGTGTTTGGTTAAGTACTGGTGAGAATAATGAATTAAAGAATGAGTGGACACTGATTTAATTTGAAGCAATGATAAATGGTACAGATAAATAAATGTACGTTACCTTTTTCACACACATGATATAAACTTCCATGTGGCCCTAATCATCTGGGAAAGTGAGCCTTTCTGTATCAGAGCAGGGGGAAAAAAACCTCTTATATTTATCACTGGTATAAAATACTTGTTTAAAAATACTTTTAAAAATATATATTTCCAATATGCCGGTCACCTACCACCTGTATCAGTCAACACTGAGACTCACATCATCAATCAAACACAGTTCTTCAAAAGTTCTGACGGCCCTAATGATTTGACTGCGAACAGCAACGACACATCAACCCGAATCATAAAGGAAGAAAATGGGGTGGAAAAGGAAAAAACAACCACTCTGAAATCTTGTCTCAGAAGATCCATTTTTCCCGAGTTGTGCCTCCCGTTAAATCAGTAAGAATATCTGTCAGAGATATCCTGCTACACCATTTGGCTGATGTCAAACCTAAATAAACCAGATCAGAAAACCAGCAAGTGGCAGGAGAGAAATGAACGGGCACAGAGCAGTCTCACTGTAACTCGCATGGTTTGCTGGCTGATTTTGGGGCGGGGGGCGGAGGGGAAGTGGTGGCAATCACTGCAGTCATTTGCAGTACTAATGTCCAATTCAGCCTCCTTTCATTCCCCTGATTTAGGTGGTCAGAGTGGTCTCGTAGCCGACACGGGGAAGCTGTGCTGTTTAGCAGGCTGTTTAATGGGAAACTGGCAGTCTTATTTCTTTTCTAGATTTGGTTTGTCACTAGGTCTCCATTACATGCCACTCAGCTTTGATGTCTTTGGACAGGACTGATCAAAAGATGTCATTTGACCTACACAGCATGGCAGAAACTTGGAGAAGTCTCATAAAGCGACACTCTGGCTGTAAATAAAATGACATTATTATTTCCTCTCTCCTATCATGTAGAAAAGCCAATTATGGTAATGCACTGCATGTCAATGAAAATACAGCAATCTTTTTGGAGCAGTCACTGCAGGCATCAGTACTGCAACCCTCCTTCCTGGGAAAATTTGCCCATTGGAAAATGAAGAGGAAGGAGGTGATAGATGTCGTGAAGACAGTTAACAAAGTCCTGGACAGCGAAGAAAAGTGCAAGTCAGCAAAACAACTGGAAGTGCAAAATGCAAACTGTTAAGTTCCCAAATTATCTAATAATTTAATCTTCAGTGATTTATATTCTGTCACCAAAATAGCCAGTATCATGACCTGTACTTCTTACCATTTGACTGACAGGCAAGGCGATTTAGGGTACTAAGAAACCCCTTCATACCCACTACTCCTTAAGAAGCTAACTCTTGGGGGAGGGGGATTCTGACCTTGTCCCTGAAATTCATTTAGAAGTGTAGTCCTGTCTGCCCTGTGTCTGCAAGACAATGTAAAACATCACGCAGGATATCATGTTGCTGTTGTTTTAGAATGGCCCATTTTATTCATTCCACTGATGCAAAATATTCACCGTCTTTCTCCTACTCAAGCACATGTGAGAAACAAAAATGCGTACCAATTCCCTTCTCTCCCTTTTGAGAGGGGCAGAAGCTCAGAAGGAGAGCATCTCTTAACTGCAGGCCACCAGGCAACAGTGTATGCACATCTGCTCCGAGAAAGAACTGGTCTCCTTCTTACTCTCCTCTCCACTCCTGATGTCTCCCCTGAATTCAGAATCACATGAAGCCAACTGCTTGCAGTGTGCATCAGGACGCCCTCAAGAAGCCGAGTCACTGTGCCCTGGAAGCAATGAGCCATGTTCCAACCCTTGGAAGTCCATCTCTGGGTCTTGCTCCTGGTAAGCCCCCAAAGGAAGCCCAGCCACAGTGTGGTGTTTGGCTCAATGGTCTATGGGCAAGATGGGGTCTGGTTCCCTGACTATCCTATGTGCCCAAAATGAGGGTGACCTTGTTTATTGACACCATTCATTCAGACTAGGAAAAGGCAGCTTCAGACAAGCTTTTGCGGGACTGTGGGCAGAGCTGAGATGTAAAATTAAGTTTCCTCCCAGAGGAAACATTTTAATATTTCTGTAATCATGGTGTATATTCATTTCTAGAAAAAAATAGAGCCATGCAATTTATGTCCATTGAACTCAAGGAAAGAAAGCAATTTTCAGAGTCACAACATCTACAACAGAAATAAAAACTTTTTGGCTACATCAGAAAAATTTTTAAATGCTATAATTGTTTGGGTTAAAATTATTTTCCATTATGACAAGTCATTTCTAAGCACACATTGCAACCACATCTTTTTCTTCCCCCTGCAATTTAATTCTGGCACGTAATACAGTGCAGATTAAATTTAGAAGCTTCCTCAAATTTTAGTAACTTTAAGTAATATCCTTTATGTCAATAGTGCCAGGCATTCCCCCAAAACTGACATTTGTAAAGCTGCAGACTTCACTGAAGGGACTCCTGGGGAGTCCCCACCAGGACTCAGCACAATTGCTCCAGGCAAATCATGAACCCACCCTGGGGTTCTTGACTCAGGCACTGTCAACCGCAGACCACGGGTGATAGCTGAAGAAAAGTTAAGCTGCTCCTGTTCAGCCCACACTTTCGCTTTCAAAGGACATCCTTATATTTCAACAGAACATAAGTCAGTGGGCTGTTCTTCCTTCACTCTGCTTCCTGAGGACTATGGTCATTACAAGGACTGCTACATGCAAGGGGGATTTCTGCCCAGGCAGACTATAGTTAGTGTTTAAGCACCCTGACATCACCCAAAGCTGCCTCCTCCCACAGGGTCCTC